TAGAGTGTCCGAGAAAGCCTACATCTTCACTTTAGAAGATTCCAACAAGGTTTCTTCACAGCACATGCATGCCTCTCAGATCAAGGATCTCAGAAGGTACGTGAGGCGATAAGCGTACGAGCGCCCATCTTCCACAGAACTGACCCGTTCCTTGATGTTCTTGATCAACGATGTAACCGCAATTATCGCAATCATGTTGAATACTAGTCATGTCACCGCCCAGCTGAGCATTTAAATAATGCAATAAGAAGTGGTCTGATCTAATTGCTGCGATCACTTCCAGACTAGCAGCTGCTGCCACTTAAAATGGGAAACAAACCAGAAACTAATTTCCTTTTATAGACATACCAAGCAATATTTTTGTTGGAAACTATATGCAAAAGAAGTTTCATGTCTCAAAACATTTCGTATTCGATTACAGTCTCGTCGAGGAAACCCCAATTTAGGGTTCATTTAATTACATGCCAAGGAAATGCAAGTGTATGCATGCCAAACGTAGGAGAAATTGGATAGCTGTATTGGAACCTGTTAAGTCTTGTAACTTGCAAAATGGAACGTCATCCAATTACTCAAATATACTCAGAGCAAGAGAGACATTAATTAATTTACTCTTACATGTACATAAATTTTTAATGCCCTTCTAGACCTAAGATGGTGATTAATCAGATTTGATCGAGAGGAAAGGAGTTGAACGAAGATCATTGAAGGTGGGAATCTGCAGTCCAATCAATTCTTCTTATTGCTCCGATGTTTCAAAGATGTACATGAAGTCATGTGCCCCTTACATGGAAATGAATGGGTGGGTGTGAGGAGGATAATTTTACAAGAAGATATCAAATTCAAGCACCCTACCCATATCATATGAATCTCCTGCACTCCTCCATAATTAGCATCTATAAAAGGGATATTTTGTGGGGCTTCCTCTTAAAATGTTTATCAGTTCTAAAAATACAGCAGCAACACCCTTCAAATTCTTGTTTTCCTTCATTTTTTTTCAAATACTGCCTAACATATTTTTTGACCTTGTATAGGCATAAGATGGCTTCAGAACTAACAAAGTTTTTCATTAAAATAATCAAGATATGTTTTATAAAATAAAAACAGACTGACCATTTATATCCTCAGCAGTCAGAGGCCATCAAGTTAAAGAGTCGTGTGGGTAATTATTCTTGTATGTATTACATTCCTCTATTTTAAGAACTTTGGAAGGTAAAGATAAAATCGTGCAAGTTCTGTACAATGCAATAAACATGATAACCCTGTATAAATCATTTTCTATAAATTGGCTCATTTGCTCATAATTTGTGACCATCTTAAATCAAAATAGAGTCCAGCAGAAAAAAAAGCCACCGACTGAATTATATCAATTGTTTATATTACTATATTATAACTCAATTACCTTCCAGATTTGTTTTCATTTATGTTTTGTTGTTGAACGTACGATTCATTCAGGTCAAAGGAAAACAATTTATAACTACAAAGTGAAAATATAATTTATTTATTTTTAATAAAAAAAAATCATAAGTCATGTTTAAATGTAGAGGAGTAAATATGAAATATACTGAAATGAAATTAAAAAACCATGATAAGCCTTTTTAATCAATATCGACAGACCCCCTGCAAGCCCCCAAATTGAAACTGTCACTCGCTGGCGTTGATAGGGGGAAGCTCTCCCTCGTTGATCAAGGAAGGAAATGTTCAAAGAGCAGGGGAAGTGTAGAGGGGGCAACAAGGCGATCGGAAAATGAGCCAAGGGGAGGCAAGAAGCAAGGTCGAGTTTTCAATATTCATTTTTTTGATATATGATATCAAAAAGAACTAGATGGAATTTTGACTGCGCGCAGTCAAAAATGATGCCTCCGCCATAGAGCAATTTAAACAAGTTTGGAGTTTAAATCTCCAGTGGTTCTTGAGATATCATGATAACAATCTCAATGTATGGAATTTCATAAGTTGACCTCTGTGACCCTTGACCTTTGACCTACGTGCTCCAAAATCTAATCAGATTGTCTTCCTATGGTGATACACACTATCATTAAGTTTGAAGTTTAAATCTCCAGTGGTTCTTGAGATATTATGATATGGTGATACATACTATCATTAAGTTTGAAGTGAAAATTCTCCAGTGGTTCTTGAGATATCGCGATAACGATCTCAATGTATGGAATTTCATAAGTTGACCTCTGTGACCCTTGACCTTTGACCTACGTGCTCCAAAATCTAATCAGATTGTCCTCCAATGGTGATACACACTATCATTAAGTTTGAAGTTTAAATCTCCAGTGGTTCTTGAGATATTATGATAACAATCTCAATGTATGGAATTTCATAAGTTGACCTCTGTGACCCTTGACCTTTGACCTACGTGCTCCAAAATCTAATCAGATCGTCTTCCTATGGTGATACATACTATCCTTAAGTTTGAAGTTTTTACATCTCCAGTGGTTCTTGAGATATCATGATAACAATCTCAATGTATGGAATTTCATAAGTTGACCTCTATGACCCTTGACCTTTGACCTACGTGCTCCAAAATGTAATCAGATCGTCTTCCTATGGTGATACATACTATCCTTAAGTTTGAAGTTTAAATCTCAAATGGTTCTTGAGATATCGCGCTAACAAACTCAATACAAGGAATTTCATAAGTTGACCTCTGTGACCTGTGACCTTTGACCTACGTACTCCAAAATCTAATCAGATCGTTTTTCTATGGTGATAAATACTATTCCCGAGTCTTAAGTTTAAATCTTAAATGGTTCTTGAGATATTGTGATAACGGTCAAACGGGACGGACGGACGGACGTACGGACGGACGGACGTACGGACGGACGTACGGACGGACGGACGTACGGACGGACGTACGGACGGACAACCCGAAAACATGATGCCTCCGGCACCACCTTCGGTGGCGGAGGCATAAAAATATCAAAGGTAGATATCAAAGATATGCACAGGCATATTTATTGCCAAACAGCAATCTTTCACTTCAGTTTAATAATATTAGGAGACAAAACTGAGGAATTTCAATATTTAAAATTGTTGATCTCAATATATTTTAAATATGAGGGCAAATCTGTAAACCTTTCCCTTATTTTGGAGTTTTAATGGTCTCCTTTTTCTCGAGTATTTGGTGTGGTATGCAAATTGGCAATATAGGAAAATAATGATAGCTATTGTGGAATTATGGGGGGAAGCAAGTTTCAATTAGAAAACAAAAACTAGAAAAAGGGTTTTCTGAAGTAAACATGAAGGGCGATAACCGACATTCATGATGAAATTATGTGAGGAATGCATGAAGTTTCAATTAAATCTACATTTGGCCTTCACTTAATTTTACACCTACTTAACACATTGTTATCTAAATCAATCTTAAAGCAAAGAAATACTCCCTTGTCAACCAGCCCCCCCCCCCCCTTTCTCTCTCTCTCTCTCTCTCTCTCCCTCTCTCTCTTTCTCTCCCTGTTATTTCCATCTCATTTCCTTGTTTTGTCCTTACTAGATTCCTTTCTCTATCTCTCTCTCTTATTCTCTCTGTATCTTTCATAGTCTTTTGAAAGCTATAAGGGTATTAACTACATGTAATATACCTTTACACAAAGTTTACTCCCTTCTGGCTTTAAAAAGACAAATTTGTTTCCCTCCTCTCTCTCTCTCTCTCTCTCTCTCTCTCTCTCTCTTTTCCCCTCTCTCCCATTTATTTCCTTGTAATTTACTCTACTAAGTGGCCTTTTTCCTATCATGATTTGGACATAATACTTCCATGTAATCCATATACCTTCCTTATCCTGCAGACTTTTTAATACTAAGGCTTCTTATATTCTTATCCTTCCATCGAGGCCTTTCCAGGCTTGCTATAATCTCTCAAATCCTCTCGTTTCCCAGTAGGGAGCTAATCGGCTTCAGGTCCAAAACTTAGGACTCTATAGTCTAGATGGTCCAGGTCTAAAAAATTGAGCTCAAACATTTCCTAAATGACTATGTATTAACAAACATGTACATATCTCATCAGGTCCACAATCTAAGACCAGAGTCTGGTCTAAGTCCAGTGAATGGAGCATATAGACTTATCCCCTGAATGACACACACATATATCTCACAATATCAATAATCAAATGGTTAAAAGATCAGTAATTTAGACCATTCTCAATCTGAGTTTTTGAATCAGTTATTACATATCTCTATGTCAAATCAAAGGGCTCATATGAATGAAATTTGCCTGTGTTTTGATTATCCAACGGGCTACAGAGCAGGATGAAAGGGGGTCCTACTAAGTAAATAGGCCTATTCAAAAGGCACTAAATGCATTTCAAATAATGCACACGATTCTGCGGTCTGCTAAATTATATAGGGCATTTTAAAAGTGATAAATATTGGTTTGTAGGACCTTCAAGGCCTTTTATGGAGTACAAAACAAGTTTAAAAGCTTCTAATAGTGGTCATCCATTGTGATCTAGCGCAAGCTTGAAGTCCCGTTTCACACTGATAAGAATGTACATCTTTTGTGGTTCATGAGTTCACCTTGAGACTGTTTAGGAATATTTCGTCACTAATATTAGGAATCAACATCTATCCTGCATCTACGTCCGTCCACAAAAAGCAACGATTCTTGACCGCCTTTCAATACAATTTGACATGTTTCTTTGATTGTCCAAGGAAGAAGAGTAAAACAATAATGAATCTGAAATGTAAGTCACATTTTTTGTAATTACCTGCACTCTTTAACATTACAATGAAAATCAAGCTTCTTACTTCTCCTTAAATTAAGATAGATGGAATTAAAGTAATTGTGTGTGTCAAAAACTGAATAGAAGTATCAAAAAACAATGGTTAAAACTGATTAATAGACAGCTAGTTTTATTCTCAGTAATAAAACTGATCCTGATATGAAATTAGTATTGCTCCCACTATTTTCGGCCTCTATCAAATGGTTTTAGGAAGAGTCGTCAAATTACCTGTACAGATGGAAAGTTAGTAACAAAACAAGCAAGCCTTCTTACCTACAAAAATTATAGCAATATATCCACAGTAAAAGGTCTATGATGATAGATATATTCCAGATTTAAAAACCTCCTGTGAACGCTGATCGAGCACAGACCTTTGTGTATCATGAGAGTCCCTGCCGGAGAGAGAGAAGCACTAACTTCACGCTTTGGAACCACATGTACAAATCAACAAGCACTGTGCTCTAAAAAAGCCTTTATAGCCCTAATGCTAGTATTATTACCGTGTTTACTACTCTTTGGGACTTTGTATGCTTTTGGCCGCTTCAACGGACACGCACAAAACTTCTCCAACAGAATCCATAGAAAACAGACACAATGGGGAGAAGCATCGCATTCCTGGAGACAGTTTGATATCTAGCCCCCCCCCCCCCCACAGCTTTTCTTTTCAACTTTATCTGCTCAGCTCTTTCTTTCTATTTTGCTAAATGACAGCTTCAGAGATTTCTCACGCTTGTGTTCAATGGTTTCAAATATTGAAAATATGCACAAACTTTTCAAATCTTTTCATAATGCTCAGGCTTTTTTAAGAATACTTAAAGCAGAAAGTTTAGGCCCACTTCCATATTCTAGCTGTTGTAACAATATTATTCTTTCTATTTGTCAAACAGACTTTTATACAACTCTATTTTCTCTTTCTACATTAATATGAGCATATTCATCTTTCAAAAGGTATATATACCATTTTTTTAATGAAATCTTCACATTTTGGTGGTATCTTTTTCCACCTTAATTTTCACCAATTATTTATTTATACAGTCAAACGTGCTTTAGTGACCACCTTGTCTACATTTGTTGAATCATGTACTAAAGAAACCTGTCTACAAAGACCACCTGTCTACAAAGGCCACTTTTTGTGTTTCCCTTGGGTGGTCGCTAACAGGTTTGACTGTATCTCCCTCCCTCCTGCCCCCCCCCCCTCTCTCTCTCTCTCTCTCTCTCTCTCCCACCCCCCCCCCCCCCTATGTCTGACCACTTGAAATGATACCTATCACTGCTTTGTTCACCGTAAGTTGGAATATAATGAAAACTACGCAAGAATTCTTGCTTCCTTGTAATCTGCTTGCAGGTACTGAAGTAGGGTCTTTTGTTGGGAAATCTTCTTGGAAAATGGTGAATTCTTTACATCAAAATGTCTTGTCAGATAAACAACAACTACATCAGGTTAGCTTCTTTCATATTATATTTCTTCACTTTCTTCACCCATTAATGTACCCCCACTAAACACATGACTGAGCTGATCATCTCTTGTGATATAATCCGAGAACTGTGTGGCATGCAATAAAGTTACCATCCTGTTATGTTGGGTTAAATGCAATCTACAATCAAGGATATTTGATTCTTCATGTGCACATCCTAGTGATGAGCACTAAGAAGCATTACGAAGCAAATACAAACAAACGCAAAACAACCGTCATAACTGTTATTGTTTACAAATTACTGGTTAATACCATAAATGGTAAAATCTGTGAATGAACAATGGAATTACACATTCATCAGAATGTCAAATATGAGAGAAAAACACAAAAGGCCTTGACCACGAACAGGACGGAAGGGGTTGCCCTCTTTGGGGAGTGACGAACAGGGACACCCACGACAATCGTACCTACACCTTTATGATTACAAATGACACTTTTATGATGTCATAACTACGGTATACTCATGGTTCATTGTGTTCTGACAGCCTATTTTTGGACGCCTTTATTTTGCCCGACACATAACCCGAGAAAAATTCCATTGAATACTGTTTACCTTACGAACAAATATGGTAAAAAGGATCACCAAAAGTGCAAATCACTGCATAAGAAAGACTGATTGCATATCTGTCTCTGTCTTGTCACTATAACCACGCAACCACCGTGAGTAAATAGATTCCACGATTGGATTGAAGAATTGGAGTATCTGCTTCTTCGGGCGGAATATGATCTTGACAGCATGACAAACGCTACAAAGTATTTCGTCGCCTTCCGAGCAGCTATTATCCCCAATAAATCAACTAAATGCTAATGTAATACACCAAAGAAAAGGATTTGGGAAAATACTGCCAGATTGGAAGGAAATTTGACAATACAGCTTATACAAATATCTGCACTTTCTGTAAAAACTGAACAGTGGTTTTCTAAAATGTCAATATTGAACCAATCCAGGAATGCCAGGTATTTTTTTTCAAGGACTTAGGATAAGTTCTGGCTGACACTGAATGATAGTGAAAAGCTCTGATAAGTGACACTTTTGTAATCTTGTTTGTCTGAGTGGTAATCTTTCGTAAAGAAAAGGAGACAACTTTGATGCCAATTTGAGAGCTGTGGGAGGCACACAAGAAAAGGCACTTTTTACGCAATCTCTTATAATCACCGACAAACTAAAACAGTAAATGAAACAACTGTTGAATGGAGTATCAGTATTTACTTTTTAAGCATTTCTCTGTAAAGATGTTGGTCTTCGAGTCTTTCATATTATTTTTTGCTACAGAAAAAAAGTTCAAACATCTTCCCTTCAAATAAAAGACAACATTTGAAAATGAAGGTGTATAGTAATTCTCCATAGATAAAATGCAAGAACAAGGCTCGCTGTATCCAATTGGGATCGTTGTAAAATCAGCCAATATTCTGTAAAGAATGTACTTCAAAAATTGATCTCAACATTACTTCTAAATTTCAGAACTCTAACTGTAACTATTGTTTCCCCATTTCACGTTTGGTAACAAAGTAAACAAGCCAGCATCATGGCAAAAACCCATGCCACTGATATCTATGCCTGGTAACATTTTATTAATGCTTTCCAAAGATGTTTTATACTTTACTTACCTATTTTGTGTCAGGACAGCAAGAGACCAGATCAAGGCAAACACCAGGTTAAATGCACAAAGGAAAAAGAAAGAGAGAAGGGAACAACACAATTAATAAAATGCTATATATTTCATGAGCAAAAGAGTACAGAAACTGATGTATTGGATGTATTTGAACCCTTTACCTTATAATCCACAAAATTAGTGACTCATCTTGTAGACCAGAATATCTCTACATGCACAGGATCGCAACAACTCTACTTGGTTTATTTAAATGTAGCTGCAGCAAAAAAGGTATTCAACTTATTGAAAACGCACACAAATATGAAGATACTTGTATCAAAGAAGTTGATATCTCTAATGTGTGCAGAGTTTACTTATTTCCCAGCCTTAAGTAGATGAACATTAAAGGCAAAGCAGCCATACAATAATAAATATCATCATGGATAGCCAAGAAATTTGTCCAGAATTAGAATCTATGTCAATTAAAGAAAAACATAAAGCCATAAAGCATCAGCAGGATTGTAAATTAGTTTCCTAAGAATGATAAATATCAACTTAATGATAAGATATTTTCCCTGCCTTTTATATTGTTGGGTTTTCAAGCATCTGTTGTTGTTTTTTTCTGTGACAATATCCTGAAAACATGTTTTTGCTGTCTGTATGAATAAACATTACAAACACTTCAACAACATGATTGATTAAGATGCTTTCAAAAGTAGCAATGGCCCTGGACATCTGTAACAAATAAAATTAAAGGTACTTTCAAAAGAATTGTGTAAGTCTGAAACATCATATTCAATGCATGTCTTCCTCTCTCGGATAAGAATCTTTACACAGAAAAAAGAGGAGAAAGTTGGGTGGAAAGCAACAATAACAGAAATGTAAAAACAAAGACTGAAATGGCATGATGGAATATAAATGAGATCATAACAGATATAACTGACAGAGCAAGATAATTCCATATTGCACATACAGTGGCTTAGGGTGGAGTCCAGGGGCACAGACATGGGGGGGGGGGTTCTCTTATCTTATTTCACAGATGAAATGTGAAATTAACAATACCCCTGATAAGGAAGAAGGTGTGGAAGGGAAAAGTAAAATCTTATATTTTCATGTGACTACCCCCCAGTAGTATGTATGTACGTATAGTCCCAAAACATGATTTATGGTATTATCGATTAATCGATTACTATGAAATCAATAATCAATAAATATGAGATATGGATCGATAATTATGGATCAATAAAATCGATAATTGATAAATATGAAATATGGATTAATTAAATATGTATTAATTAAATATGGATGATGAAATATAAAATATGGATCGCTGAACAAATAGAAAAATAGAAACAAAAATGAATAACGAGGAGGTTGTAGGTTTGTATGACGTCACGCAGTGACGTAGTGTACGACGAGGGGGGGTTGTCTCGTGTTTTACAATGGAGTGGAACCTGGGAAGGTATGACGCAAGGGTTGAAGGACGTGTAGAGACACATACGGTATGACGTAAGGTTTGAAGGGCAGGTAGAGACGTGACTGTGGATAAACATGATGTCATAGTCTGAATAAAAGAGAACGCATCATCTATTAAATATAGAATAACCACGTCATGGTACCGTAATAGGCACGCTAAAAAAATGTATAAAATACCGTGGACGTGTCCAAAAGAAAATAGTATATTCAATCGTACATCACCGTCAGCAACATGTACAGTTACTACAAACATAATACAAAGACGACTAACGAAGACATGGAAGATGTACCTCGTGAGAATGAAGATTCTGGGTATACATCGCCCGAACACTTATTCATAGACGAAGGCTTGTCAAATCTACAGCCAGAAAAAATGAACGAACAAGGCAGACAAGTGGGAGAGAAAACCATCAAGCCACTGAAGGGACGTCAGATGGACAGCTACGAGAAGGATGTGGATGGAGGTGGTACAGGCGTGACAACAAACATGGCCCGCGATGTGAAAGCCACAACCGTTGCCAAGTTACCAATCAGCATGAAGGATGGACGCGCCAAGTACGTGGCCGTGCGAAAATTCAGAGGTCAAGTCTATGTCGACGTTCGAGATTACTACGAGTCAAATGGGCAGTACTTTCCGACTAAAAAAGGTATCACCTTATCTGCGAGGGAATTCAAAGCAGTCCTGATGATTTCTAAGAACATCAACCGTGCAATCTACAGTGGAGAAAACCAGTAGTCGCATCGAGACAACAAAAAAACCCTTGGATATGTAACGGAATGAATATGATTTGAAAAAATGATAATAAAGTTGTCACCATTTTACAGTAAAATCCAACGTGTTTATTCTACTTTGTTGCGTTTGTTGTCTTGACGTCAAGGGTAGTGAACCTGTAAGAGACAAAAGGCGAGAGAGAGCGAAAGAGAGATTGACGCTTGATTGTTTGTGACGTGTGTAAGATTAAAAGTGTGTAAACCATTGAGGGAATAGATGAAGAAAGGGAGAGAGAGAGAGAGAGAGAGAGAGAATGCCTGAGATTAAAACTTTTGCTAAGAGGGGGGGTTACGACAGTACCTTCCAGAAGAGGAGGATTATAAGACAAAGACTTTTGTTCAGGTATTAACGGATAAGATTGAGAAAAGTAAAATGCAATTACGACGACCCGTTACAGGTATCAGGTTCACGCACAGCTTCTAGGGGCCGTCTTTGTTTGTCCACCCGCTTTGTACATAATACCCGTTGTTATAATTAAAACTTTTTCTAAGAGGGGGGTTACGACAGTACCTTCCAGAAGAGGAGGATTATAAGACAAAGACTTTTGTTCAGGTATTAACGGATAAGGTTGGAAGAAAAAGAAAAAAAAAAAGTGAAATGCAATTAAGACGACCCATGACAGGTGTCAGGTTCACGCGCAACTTCTAGGGCCGTATCCTCTTAACGTCCAAGACCAATTATCCTTAATGAGCACGTTTGAAGTTGAGCCGTTATTCCTTAATACAGGACGAGGGGCTTGTAGAGACTAGTTCTATTGTTTTCAAAAGACTTTTGTTCGGATATTAACGGATAAGATTGAAAAAAGTGAAATGCAATTACGGCGACCCGTTGTTTTCAAAGACTTTTGTTCTGGTATTAACGGATAAGATTGGAAAAAGTTAAATGCAATTAAGACGACCCGTGACAGGGGTCGTATCCTCTTAACGCCCAAGTGCAATTATCCTTAATGAGTACGTTTGAAGTTGAGCCGTTATTATACTAAATACAGGCGAGGGGGTCATGTAGAGACTAGTTCTATTGTGTTTTGTTATTTTATTCTATTTTATTTTTTAATTATTTGTATCCTCTTAACGTCCAAGACCCAATTATCCTTACCAGAAACAGATGTTAGCGTCACAGGATTTGAAGTCGTCTTAATCGTGAAATCCATTGTGTGGGGGTCTATATATAATTGTGAGTTATTTTTTTATCACACTTGTTTATATCATAACTTGAATCTACAAATAATCATGGACGTCTTTCCTACCGAAACCGATATTCTCAATGACGGCCTAGGTGTTTCACCTCGATTTTACAGACAGGGGAAAGCTCCAAAGGAGGTATTCCGTACTGTACTTTCCGCTGCAAGAGGATTGCAGATGCTTGTGATACTGTTACACCGGGAGATGTTCTATTTACATTTAAGAACATTTAATAGATTTGGCGCAAATATTGTAATAGGCGGATCATCGGTTTTCTTGGGAGAACAAGACATGTTTTCTTTCCTGTCGCGTCTAGATGATATTGATGAACAGCTACACGAATACGATGGCAATGGGGGTAGTTACACTATTGAAGTTCCTGTTTTCGATGATGAGCGCCCAAACCGTTATAAAAATTTATCAACCAATTATGAAGACACATCCCTGTACATAGAAACCGGTGTCCTAAGAGGAAAACAGTTCGTGGACGTACGACAGGTCCTTAAAGACCAGGATAGAGGTTTCAATACTGATACAAGTTTCAATACTCCGATGATAATCTTTGTTTCGCAAAAGCACTCGTGATTGCCATGTTACACTCTAAAAATGACAAAAGATATAGAACATGGACCAAAAATAAACAAGACCGCGCGCCAACCAAACAGTTTATGAGAATGGCTCGCGGCCTTCACGCTCGAGCGAAGGTTGAAGAGGGTATTGTTGACTCACGCCAGTACGCTGCTTTTCAAGCTGAGATAGCTCCAGAGTACAGGCTTATGGTATACAGAGGTAGACGTAAGGAGGCATTGATATATGCAGGACCTCCGGAAGGTAAAGCCGTCTACCTGTACCTGTCTGGGTCCCATTATAACGTGATAACCAATCCCTCTGCTTTTCTGTGTGTTTCTCAGTTGTGTGAGGACTGTCACGAAACGTACAACGATCCCCTCACGCATAAGTGTTGTTGTAAATGCCCAGATTGTTATGCAACAGATTGTGATAGCGGTACGTTTCGTGAGAGTAAGCCCTCTACCATAGTATGTAAAAAGTGTCGAATGACATTTCTAACGGAACGTTGTTTTCAGCTACACAGTGTAACCCTGCATAAAAAACTCACAGCCTGCCAAAGAAAATACAAATGTGACAAATGCGAAAAAGTGCTCGACATCGATGTAATAGGGTGTGATCCCGCTAATCATAAATGTTCGAATATATTTTGTAGAACCTGTAAAGAGGTTGTCGACGGCAGGGATCATGCGTGCTACATGAAGGTAACATCCAATAGCCCTTACTACGAGGTTAAGAGTGCCGATGAAACCTCAAAAACCGTTAAACCGTCCACAAATCTCCCACAAACCAACCACCACGGTCAAGCAACTCCTCGGGAAAATGAAGGAGTACAAAAACAACAAAAGAAATGTACGCAATACGCGAAAGAAAAGAAAACAAAACCTGAAAATTGTACAAAGTACATCTTCTTTGATTTTGAATGTACTCAGGACACGGGTGTTCACGAACCCAATTTTGTGCATGCATCGTGGGAATGTGAATCGTGTATGGACAAGGACAATTCAGTGTGTAAGCGCTGCGGTCCTCCACATGCGAGACATATCACGTTTGAGGGGGAGAATACCCTATCAAACTTTGCCGCGTGGCTTTTTAGCGAAAAGCATAACAATTCAATCGCGTTGGCCCATAACAGTAAGGCCTATGATTCTTATTTTCTGCTCAACCACCTGGTTGCGGAAGGTATCATACCTCAAGTTGTTTTAAACGGAGGTAAAATCATAAGCCTTAGAACTTCAGACCCATGTGTAGTTGTCAAGGATTCTCTGAACTTTTTTCAGATGGCACTCGCCAAACTCCCTAAAACTTTCGGGTTGACAGAATTGAAGAAAGGATATTTCCCACATCTGTTCAACACGAGAGCGAATGCAAATTATATCGGACCCCTACCTGACAAAAGATGGTACGGGTACGAAAGTATGATGAAAAGCGCTCAAATTGAATTTCTGTCGTGGCATGGTAAACTTTGTAGCGAAAACTATGTTTTCGATATGAAAACAGAGTTGAAGGAATACTGCATCAGCGATGTTGAAATATTACATCAAAGTTGTAAAGTATTCCGTAAACACTTTAAGACCATCACCGCAACACCCACGAACAAAGGAGGTATAGATCCTTTCCTTAAATCCCTTACTTTACCTAGCGCGTGCAATCTTTTGTTCAGGACTAACTATCTGAAGCCTGATACAATAGCCTTAATACCCCAAGACGGTTACACAGGGTCTAAACAGCAATCGGCCAAAGCTGGCGCGTGGCTGCATTATAAATCCCTCAAAAAGGGTATAGCTATTCAGCACGCCTTCAATGGTGGAGAGCGCATGGTACACGGTAGATTTGTGGACGGTTATGCCACCGTAGGTGAGAAGAAACATGTATGGGAGTTTCTAGGATGTTACTTTCATGGTTGTCAGACATGCTGGGCGCCGGATCTCGTCAATCAAAAATTAAACCAAAAGATGGGTGTGTTGTACAACAATACGATGCACCGAATCCGCCTCCTAAAACAGGCGGGTTACAAGGTCCACGTCATTTGGGAACACGACTGGGACCGTAAAAAAAAGAGTGACAAAGTTAGGGATTTGCTACCGAATGTCGAGCATTTTAGCGCTGGGTTACGTCATCCTTTGAACCCTAGAGATTCCTTTTTTGGGGGGAGGACGGATGGTTGCCGTCTCTTTTACGAAGCTGGGCCCCGTGAAAAGATACGTTACTATGACTTCACAAGTTTGTATCCTTTCATAAACAAATTTTCAAAATATCCCGTTGGACATCCTCGTATCATTTTGTCCGATTTCCCACCTCTCGAGGACATATTTGGCTTGATCAAATGCAAAATTACCCCTCCCGAGAATTTATTCCACCCTGTATTGCCATTCAGGTCAGAGGGGAAATTGACCTTTCCCCTCTGCCGTACCTGTGCCGAGACAATGAACAGTGGAACGTGTAAGCACGAGGATGTTGAACGGGAGTTAGACGGTGTTTGGGTTAGTGAAGAAATCAAAAAGGCTGTTGAGAAGGGTTACACTAACGTTAGAATGCAGGAAGTTTGGCACTTTGAGAGCTCAACCGTGTACGACAAGTCTACTAGAGAAGGGGGTTTATTTTCTCCCTACATCGACTCCTTCATTAAAGTTAAACAGGAGTCATCGGGTTACCCCGCGCATGCGCAGTCAGATGCAGCAAAACAAAAGTACATCGACGATTATTTCGAACACGAGGGTATCAATCTTGACCCTTTTCTAATTTGTAAAAATCCTGGTTTGCGCGCTATTGCTAAAGCAATCGTCAATGTACTGTGGGGAAAATTTGCGGAGCGCCCAAATTTGCGTAAAACGGTGTATGTTAAAACCACCGATGAAATTCTCACCTATCTAAGGGACCAATCGATAATCGTAGAAGACTTGATCGTACACAATGAGTATATGGTAGAGTTACACTACACACAAGCGGAGGGATTTGTTGACCATAATGTCAATACCAACATTATATTGGCCAGCTTTACAACGGCGTTAGCGCGCTTGAAATTGTATAGCGTGTTGGAAAAGCTGGACGATAGGGTTTTATATATGGACACAGACAGCGTGGTGTTCAAGACGGACCCTGAACACGCCCATCTAGACCCTGTCACCGGGGATTTTCTTGGTGATCTAACCGATGAGATCGACGCCACTGGCGAGGATTTTATACAATCATGGCTATGCGGTGGTCCAAAGAATTACAGCTACAGGACTTCCAAAGGGATAACTGTATGCAAAGTAAGAGGTTTCACTCTGAATGCAATGAACTCTTTGGTCATTAACCATGACACATTGAACGAACTCCTTCAGAGTGAACAAGGGACCACACGTACAATTCACGAATCAAAAATAATCAGGGATGTGAAAGCCAAGACAATCCATACGGTGAAGAGGTCTAAGAATTACAGGGTTGTGTTCACGAAGAGGGTCCGTCTTGAAGATGGCAAAACTTTACCGTACGGCCATGTTGATATACCTCCTCTACCTACCGTATAAATAGAGTTGACATGCCCTTTTCAAGCGCTGGTTTTCATTTAAGAATATCCATTTCTAAGCGTCGTGTATTTGACATAGTATACCTCTCTCTCTCTCTCTCTCTCTCTCTCTCATGTTACGCCTTTTCTTGTCTTTGTTAAAAGACGTTTATTTTCTAATTACATTTTTTCTTGACTATATAGTACCCAAGATGGATGCAGCATACGTTAATGATTTGCATGCCCTGTTTAGAAGAACACGTAGAAGCCAAGGCTCCCTTTGGAGCGTGGGTGTTTTTATACTTTTGATCGCAACGTTATTTTTCAGTTTTTATCTGGAAGCAACTATTTTAGAAAGTGTCGAGGGCCAGGATACAGTTTCAAATAATACCTTTTTAAACGGTTCTAAACTGTATGAAAACGTCAGTGTACTTGTAGACTGGTGACATAAAAGAACCCAGTACGTTAATTATCCCTCTCACGACCTCTACGTTGTAGCGTTAAAGTAGTAACTAATAAGTTGTATTGTATATTCATGCGCATATACCCACATCTCTTGTTTGCGATAAGAAATATTCACGTTCACTTATCTCGTTCTGCATTTTTTTTTTGTTCATGATTTTATATCTGTGTGTTTGTTTGTTTTTTCTTCATTTTAAATCTTCATTGTATATACATGTATTTGCCTCCTTCTAACATGGACGTTCGTTTAAAACATAGCTTTTCATGCATGGTCGTTGGACCTAGTTTTGTTGGAAAAACTGAATTTGTAAAACGTCTTTTAAAAAATGCATCCACCATGATAGATAAACCACCGCACAAAGTGGTTTGGTTTTATAGTGAATTTCAACCCTCCTACCTGGAAATGAGTAAATCTATTCCAAATATTCAATTTCATGAAAACCTCCCCGCTGATTTTAATAGTCTGACCGATAGCGAACGTCCTACGTTATTTGTTATAGATGATTTGATGGATGTGGCTGGCGACGATAAAAGGGTTGCAGCTTTATTTACGAAGGGGTGCCATCATAGGAATGTAAGCGTAATTTATATCACGCAAAATCTGTTTCACCGTGGGAAGGAATCAAGGACCATTTCATTAAATACACAATATTATTGTTTATTCAAGAATTGTAGAGATAAATTACAGGTTACATGTCTTGGGAGGCAGATGTATCCGGGGCGGCAAAAATTCTTCAGGGAAGCCTACGAGGACGCTACCAAAGAGAAATGGGGTTACCTGTTTGTGGATCTGAGAGCCGACACTCCGGAGGAGGTACGATTGAGAACTCATATATTCCCGGGAGAAACCCAAGTTGCCTACGTACCTCGGGTATAAAATCGCACCTTACGCTACAAACAGCTTTATTTATTCAACATGTCTCGACGGATCAAGACCCATGCGGCGCTGTTAAAGACTCTGGCACATTGTACAGCTAACCAGCGTACACAACTCATCAAAAGCGCGGACAAGGGGTTTATAGATGCCATTTGTGAATGTGTGCTCAACGTGATACGTGGTAACGTTAAAATATCAGGAACTCAGAAACGAACATTGGGTAAACATAAACTCAAGTTAAGAAAACTGTCAAACCGTCAAACACCGTTGAAAGAAAGAAAGAAAATTTTGAATCAACGCGGAGGTTTTCTTGGATTGCTTGCAAGGATAATAGCACCTGTACTCGGAGGTATCACATCGTTGCTGTCTGGCGGTAAATGAACTATAATCAATCCGATATGGAGCACACGCAGAAAATGGTTCTTGTTCCACAGACGATGCTCAACACGCTACAGAACAATTCAACTACAACATCGTCTGAACAGCAGGTCAATAATCTGGACAATCAAATTCGTGCTATTTTAGAACGCGGTGACATGGACGAACATACAAAAGCCCAGTTATATTCGCAACACTTACATCATTATCTCGAAGCCAATGATGCATTGAAGAAACCGTTAGCCCTAGAGCTTATTGACAATACAATTTCAACCTCCGATAGTACCTCTTCACCGAAGGGCTTGGACGCTGTTTCGCACGACACGCCTCACGAGACAACAATAGACCGTGATATATTGGACCATGTACCAAAAACATTTGCAAAGAGAACCAGTCAATTGCTGCAAAAGTTGAAGAACGATAAAAACATCGATTGGACTGAAAACGGTGAGCTTATCATAAATAACAAAACTATTACTGGAAGTAACATTTGCGACGTCATGTATGACATATTCAGGGAACGTCGTGGCTATACCCCAACTGGCAGTGACCAGTTTATCAGTGTATTGGCGAATATGAACATTCCAGAGACTTTTATTAGCAACCCACGACGACGTAGCGATCTACAACGGTGGAAACGAAGCGGTAACCCCGGATCCAAATCTACCCCGACAGCGCCATGGGAATCCCCCCTCTCCGATGTACAGCACTCGACACCTCCCAAAACAAAAACTAAACGTGTAAAAGTAAACAGAAATGGTCCTAAAACCTACCAGTGGGATCCCTATTAATAAACGGGTGTAAACACTATGTCTTATTTATTTTCTCTCTTTTTTTTAATTTTGTTTTCTTTTTTTTCTTTTTTTTTTTTTTTCTTTTTTTTTTTCCTTTTTTTTCTTGTCTTTTAGTAGCGTTTATAATAATTTTTTATTTTGTTATTTCATAATGAATTGTATAAAGTTTAGGTTGTGTAAAATAATATTGTTTATACGACTAGAAACGTATACTAAAAAAGTATGTTTTATGTTCGTTAAACTGACGAATCGGTGGAATGGCGAATCGGTAGAACGACGTTTATCCTACTGTTTCTACTATAACTAGTTTGTTGCTGTTGTTTTTTTTATTTTATTCATTATTTAAATCTTGTTTATTATTTTTCTTGCTTGCTGTGTACCGTGTACATATTCGATGGTTATACCATTTTCATACTTAAGATAGGGACAGCTTACAAACACAACCGTCATGACACTATGCAAGTTGTAACCTGACTTGATGTATATATTGTATATAGTCTACATGCATTGTATGTTTTGTAGTGCTATTCAGTTTGAAAATATAAGACGTGACAACGTAAGAACGACACACTGAAACAAAATGATTTCTTTACGAAATTTTATTCAATAAACAACACACTTTTTAAAATATTTTTAATACATTTTACAACTGGTTCTCTCGTGTATTCATTCTTCATGTATTCTTTTATATTTTAAGAGAAGACGTAACGTGTACTATCAGAAAGAGGGGCAGAGGAAGAGAGAATGGGTGTGAAAGATGAGAGACATATAAAGAACTTTTTTTATTATTATTATTTTATTTTTATTTTTTATTTTTTGACAGAGGAAAAAAAAGATGTAGAAAGAGAGAGAGAGAGAGAGAGATAAAATACATGACAGGAAAGAGAAATGTAGCGAACGTGTTCGTGATGTAGAAAGAGGTGTTGGTGAGAAGAGAGAGAAAAAAGATAACCGTAGGATTCTAAAGTATTTCGTACTATAAAACACTTATAAATATATAAATATATAATGATATATATATATTAAGACATAGTCTACTTAGTATAAACTTAAAACAAAATGTATATTTACAAAGTAAAACAAATCAACGTGTAGGATAGGCGAGCGGATTATTTACAATTCATCGATACTTCGTGCAATTTGCCGAAGAGTGAAATTAATATCAAGAACGGGCAACGATGTATTATGTTTCCTGTTAAACCAATCATTTATCTTCATATCGTTCCTACTGTGGTCTTTCCCAAACCCCTTTAAAATACCCCGCGTCGTATACCCTTTACAACGACCGATGAGATAAAATATACAATATTGTCCACACACGGAAGAAAGGGTTCCTTGAAGTCTCTTTTCATTATAGTCCATTGTTATAGATTTTCCCATCATAAAACTATAAAGCTTCCTGTCATAATACAAAGGGGCGTTTCCATACGAGTCAAAAAAAGTCCCCTTCCCGTCGTTGAAATATAATGCTACCCAGTGGGTACCGGGGCTGGTGCTTGGGTCTGTATTTACGACGTAACATCCAATATTGTCATTCACCCTACGTGGAAGTTGGTCCAAGGCGAAAACGCCTTTAAACTGGTCTTTCGTGGCTGGGTGGTTCACGAGCACATGTTGAATTTGTGAAGTATCCATCCTTTTATTTTCTCAACCCTGATAATCATAAATGAGATTGCGGCTTCTATCGATCTGGATCAGTCCTTGGGATTCTGAAAATACGAGGCAATTGACCGTGTTGGGGAGGGGTCTGTCAAATTGTAGTTCAAGACGTAAATTACCACTTTTAATCAGATTTAAATGACATCCGTCTGACACATCCGGGGTAAGGTCAAAAGCGAATAAAGTGAACCCTTTAGGATATTCCTCTCTATTTATATCCAGGCCTTTGTCCGCGAAAAGACGATTTGTACCCATGAATAAGGAATTGTAAGCGTGTATATAGTGCTGACCCGCTCCCTCTTCAAAGCAGGGCCGTAAAGGGCGCATGGGAACCGTTTCTCCGTCGATCGTCACTGATATATAGTTGATATTCAGATGTTTAAAGTTGTAGGGGTTTTTGGCATAACTACCGTTGTAGGCGTCGTTGTCAGTTAACCCGATGATGATACGGTTCGGTAGTTGTCCTAAAAATAGGTTGTCTCGGTTGATGGACATGTTTCCAGTAGGAATTGAGAAAGAGCGTACATCCACTTTGTTGAGTGGATATTTGGCAGTTGTTTTCTCCAAGGCCTTGGCATGGGTAATCATGATGGAAGGGCTCGTCTTGACTCTGCGAACGAAGAGGGCAGCAGATTCGATCTTTACTTTGTAGGCCGCGTTTGCTTTTGAAGAAAGAAGACAAAATGCGTCTTTACTACGATTCAACTTGAGTTTCAAATCAACCCCCGGTAATAATAATCTTTCTTGAAAGAACACGTCTGCGTAGATGGGTCCCAGCATAGAAAGAAGTTTGCTCTCAGCGATGAATCCGTGTCTTTTTGCGAGTCCTTGATTCCCGTGCTCTCCTTGCAATAAAGGATTTACCACCTCCATTTTCCCCGCTTCATCCTTGTAATACAGCTGTTGTGTAAGCTGCGAGTCTTTTGTCTCCTTGTTGTAGTGTAGTAACGTCTCCATTAATGCCCTATAAGGGTATGTATTGGAGGGTTGTGATACCAGTTTTTCATTCAACATGACATCCACCTGACTAAAAAGTGAAGGGAGGAAGAGATTCACAGGTGCTACGGGGTCATCGGCGGTGATAGGCGTATTGTCTGCTTTCAATACTCTGACAGAAACTTGTAGCATGGTTTGCGAAAGATCGACATACTCTTCGGCCGTTCCAGCGACGTTGAATTCAATAGGTCCTGTATCGGTTATATTACTGACGGGGTGATATTCTATAAAGGGTCCTTTGGTAATACTAAGTTGAGTGTGTGGTACCGTGAACAAATCAAGTTCAGATTTACAACAAGCGTCGCTTTTTTCATGTAAAAGAGACATGTTTATACAGTTTAACTCCAGTCGTTATTAATCAAAAATATCTTCCACGCGAGGTCTTTTCGTACGCCGGCCTTTAGCTTTAATGACACGTTTTCTACCCCGCGACTGCTTTTTAACATCTCTCACGAGTAGAAAGCGAGCACCTCCTCTTTGTTTCGCTTTTGCCTTCATTTTCTTGCGCACACCTCCCATAGCTTTACCCGCCAAACGTTTTCCAGCTCTCTTGACATTTCTCTTAGCCGCAGATTTCAATGATTGACCGCTGAGGGTGTCTTGCATAATATTGACACCCGTCGACATGGCTTCCTTTCCCAATGCAAAGGCCCCTTTCTTCAATAAAGGAGTAGCTGCACGAAAAAGACCCTTGACCAGACTCCCTAGACCGTGTCCACGTTGCATAGCGGCTCCTCTGAATACGGGTAGACCACGCCCCATCTGATTATGGAACACGTGACTACGGAGTACACGGTTCGTTGCGTAAGGGTACATACTTTTATTTAGGATAATCGCGAAGAGCGTTCTCGAAAATGTAACGTAACTAGCACTTTCCCACGTTCAAATGGTACTACCTCACCCGTTTCATTCGTTATTATAATGTCGATTGTTTCAAAGTTGAACAATTTAAGAGGAAGGTAGTGGGGTGCTATATAAGTATTGACTATGTTTTCTTGTCGGGACCTTGGCATGACGGCGATCGTTCTCAACAAAGGAACGGAAGTATCTCCTACGTGTCGAAACTGTAAAATGTCTGAATACACGTAGAAGGAATGAAAGTACATGTGTACATCTACTGGAGACGGACTTTCTGTCGATTGTGTAAGATTACACTTTTCAAAAAAGCCTAACATCCTCGCTAAACTACAAGGTAAGACTATTCCTATGCCAGGTTGCACTTGTATAGCACATTTTCTGGAGGCCTCGATGTAAGAAAAGTTCACCTTCTCACGTGTTGCGACGTCTAAAGCAGTGTTGATAGCATGAATAAAATCAACTCCGTTCATATAATATCCCTCTTGTACCGTTATTTGACGTAAGAGAGGTACGCTATCCGTGACAGTTTCACGGTCATAGATATACAATGTGTTGTTTCCTTTTCTTACATTGTACCACGTACACTGAAATTGTATTTCTGATAATCCTACTTCGTAATCGTCGTGTAACGACAATGGCGCGTGTAATTTTGTAGTGTATTTACACGTCTTGTTATCGGGATAGTACAACATACTGCTATTGGAAGGTAAACTGACATAAAAGTGAGAGGCCATGGTGAAACACCTTTTAACATCCCTGACCTGACGTACAGTGAGCTACACTTTACCATGAATGATGGTTTTAACGTTTATCATCGACCCTCTCAACCCAACTGTCAAATTCTTTTCCATACCCTTTCCAACGTACAAAATACTGTTTTCTTTTATTCCGTACACGCGTTCGTATTACTTTCTCCACGAGATACCTGTCTTCCTTTGCTTTCTTCACCGTTTGAAGTTCAGTTTCGTAAAATGTACCGCGTAACCGTTCACCATTATAATCTTCGATTTTATAGACAGGTGGTTTTCTTTTAACACACGCCGCTATAGTGAATATTTCTTCGGACCAGTTGGCTTCATACCCCTTTGCAAATCTCATCTTGACTTTGCTTACACGCACTTGATCCCCAATGTGAAACTTGAAAGAAAACGGCTTAACGGTTTTCTTTTCACCCTCCTTTCTTTGCCCATACAATGTATTCAAAGCGCGATGCTGGTTCTCGATGGTAACTTCAGAGGGTTTCATACCTATGCTGGAATGTGTTGTAGCGTTGTATCCCTTCAACAGCTCTTTCAAAATAGGAATGTATTTGTATGTATTATGGTACGTAAAGTATTTCGCCATACGTGTGCGCAAGGTTCGATGGAATCTCTCGATACAAAAACCTTTCATCTCGTTCTCCGTTGTGAAAAAGTGTATAGCGTGTGCTTTGAGACATTTTTGAAAATCCTTGTTGATAAACTCACTCCCTTTGTCCGTGTGTAAAGCTATCGGGACCCTTCCCTCTTGTAATATGCTCTCAAAGGCTTTGACCACGTCTTTTGATAGTTTACTCTTGAGGGGAACCGCCCACGCGTATTTCGATAACACGTCGATACACGTCAAGAGATAGCGGTACCCCTCATTGAATTGTTTCAAGTTCTGTACATCCACTAAATCTGCCTGCCAATTCTCATCTATACCACGCACCCTCACTTGATTACGTTTGAAAGATTTCCTGACTGGTTTATGCAATGTGTAAGCGTCTTGTTTCATCAGCCAGTTTTTAACCCGCTGACTACTCGTACTTTCAAATCCTTCTTCTCTCACGGCTCTCACCAAGTTCCGCACACCTCCAAATCCTGCATAATGTCCAGGATTATAATAAATCGATTTTAACTTTTGTTCAACCATTTTCAACTCTTTCATCCTCACGTCCCTACCAATAGCAACAACACTGAAATCTCAACCTCTCTCACGTTCCTTAAATAATTCGTACACAAAGTATAATCCATAACACATTTCATTTATTTTATTTAATATTTTTTATTATTTTATTCATCGCTACTGCACAACACCACTTCAAACATTGGTTGATATATTGTTTACACACATGTTATTGGTTCTTACGTTTACTGACTGATTCTATTTACATCTTTGGAACACATATACAGCATGACATACAATGCTCTAGGGTTTATCAACAATTGCATTAGTCCTACACCCGTCTTACGTGGTATCCATGGTATTTCGTAGGTAGAGAGTTTGGTTATAAAAATAAAAAGCAGTTCCTGCTTACGGTGTGTTGAAAGTGACGCCATCTCATACACTCGCGTAAAATAACAAAGAGTTACCAAAGCCCTGTGCAATATGTTGGGATGGTTTTTTTGTTCGATACTATTTACAAGAAGTACTTCAACGAACGAATGTAGGTTGTCTTCCTCGTTTAAACGGGTGACCGTAAGTTCTTCAAAGTCTTTCAATTTCAACACCTCCTGACACAGCCGTAGAATGCGCGTCAACTCCGTACTGGTACTCCCTGGACATAATTTTCGCACAGTTGTCACGATCAAGGCTTCTACTAACGACAAGTCAGCGGTGGAAGTCCCGAATCGACGTCCATTGCCCTGTAAACCACCGCCACTGCTGCTTCTATCCCCTCCACGTGTTTCGCGATGGCTTGACGTCTCGCCTCCAACTCCTCCACTGTCTCTCCTTTCAAGATGAATTTCAGGTATTCCAGGTAGAACCTGCAATCGACGAGCAATGGTTTCATCCATAACACCCTGGCTACGTGTGGGTAGAAACGTTCCACCTTTTGTGGGTCGAGGTAGTTGACAGTCTGGTGCACTATCAGTTGCGGATTTTCCTTGAAATCGGGTAACTGGTTTGACGGATCGTCTGGCTGGTTTTTTACACTCCTTAACGTTTCAACTATCATCAGGTACTCCGTTAACATCAACAGGTCTACTTTTTCGACCGTTGTCTGCATGTCACGGCACCATTCGTTGTCAGGGTCCATCGTGTTGATTATGATAGTGACGGTGATGTACGATTGAATATACTATTTTCTTTTGGACACGTCCACGGTATTTTATACATTTTTTTAGCGTGCCTATTACGGTACCATGACGTGGTTATTCTATATTTAATAGATGATGCGTTCTCTTTTATTCAGACTATGACATCATGTTTATCCACAGTCACGTCTCTACCTGCCCTTCAAACCTTACGTCATACCGTATGTGTCTCTACACGTCCTTCAACCCTTGCGTCATACCTTCCCAGGTTCCACTCCATTGTAAAACACGAGACAACCCCCCCTCGTCGTACACTACGTCACTGCGTGACGTCATACAAACTTACAACCTCCTCGTTATTCATTTTTGTTTCTATTTTTCTATTTGTTCAGCGATCCATATTTTATATTTCATCATCCATATTTAATTAATACATATTTAATTAATCCATATTTCATATTTATCAATTATCGATTTTATTGATCCATAATTATCGATCCATATCTCATATTTATTGATTATTGGTTTCATAGTAATCGATTAATCGATAATACCATAAATCATGTTTTGGGACTATACGTACATACATACTACTCCCCCCCCCCCTTTCTCTTTTTTTTCTTTTTTGTTGGCCAGAGAATTACATTTAAAATATTAATGATAGTCTACAAAGCTCTAAATGGTCAAACTCCTAGTTACGTTACTGAATTGTTGCACATCAAGTCTCAAACCCATGGTCGTAACCTTCGTAGTACACAAGACACATTTATGTTTCAAATTCCCCCATATAAAACCAAAGTAACCCTCGGGGACCGGTCATTTCTCTGTGCTGCCCCTAGATTATGGAATAAATTACCACTAGAAATAAGGAAAGCCCCATCACTAGATAATTTTAAATCAAAACTGAAAACTCACTTGTTCATATAGTATGTATAGCACAGCATTTACGAGCTCTTGCAGCGCAATAGAATATATCCACATAGTTATTGCGCTTTACAAATGAATATTATTATTATTATTATTATTATTGTATACTCCTTCGTTGGGGGGGTGGCCCCTTATGCACCCTGTAGCTACACCTCTGTGTATGAAAAGAATAGCACCAGGAAGATATTTATGCAAACTTTTTCAAGGAGTGAAGATAATGTGGCACTAACAATCCACAAGTCGAGTAGTATGTTGTTGTGAAAATAATGGTGAGAGGTTTCACACTTGAGTGCAAGAAGGAGTATCATCTTTAATGGGATTCCAAGCAATGAATCGATGTTGTTTTGACCAATCATTATTTTCTTTTACCTGATGAGAGGAAGTTTGAAAGCAGGGTTATGAGTGTAGTTTAGAAAGGAAGAAAGAAGAAATGATCAAACAAGTAAGAAGATGGAGAGCAAAACAAAAAATTGTGTGTGTGTGTGTGTGTGTGTGTATGAATTTGGATATATATTTTTACCCCCCAAAAAAGTAACTGCTATAAATCAGTCCTGTTTTTGCCTAAAAGTTTTGAAAAAGTTTCCATGTAGTACCTACAATTCAATCTATGAGTTTCACTGAAAATGTTTAATGATATCTTTCAAGGAATCTGTGAATATAATATTCTGAGGACTTTGAAGAGAGTGTACACAGTTTAAAAGACTTCAGAGAAAATAAAAGACTTGCAGAGAAGAGAGAGGGAAAGAGAGAGAGAGAGAAGGGGAGAGACAGAGACAGAGAGAGAGAGAGAGAGAGAGAAGGAAGGTGGCCATGGAACTGCATATTTTGTTCTTTTCCAAGACATAAAACACCAAAGATGCAGGTGTTTTGTCATTTCGTGTCCATTCCCTTGTGATCCTAATACCGAGTCTTGAGCTAATCTCGTTCTTTTTGGAACATATCCAGCAAATATAACCTGAGATGCCCAAACAAAAGACG